GGACATATACAAAAGAGATAGTCTGCACCTGAACCACATTAGGACCAACATCCTTGCAGGTAGGTTTGCTCATGCTGGTGGGAGTCGTTTAAACTAGTCTGCCGGGGGAGGGGACACAGAATATCAATGAAACAGAGATACATCATGCTACAGCAAAAGAAGAAAGCTGAACTCCCTCGGACTATGCTGAATGTCAAAACAGTAAGGCAAAGCTGGATCATGTTTACTTTAATGCTAGGAGTGTAATAGGTAAGACTGATAAATTAATGGTGTGAATTGACACACGAAAGTAAGATATTGTTGCCATCACAGAAACATGGTTGAGGGAAGTACTGGACTGGCAACTCAACATTCCAGCATATAAGATCCTTAGGTACAGAGAAAGGTGTAAAAAGAGTGGTGATGTTGCATTATTAATTAAGGAGTTAATAAGGAGATGTGAAATCTTGGAAGGGTACTCAAATGAGGCTTTGTGGGTAGAACCTAACATTTCTAAGGGCTAACTACTTTACTGGGAGTGTATTATAGTCTCCCCCTGCCACAACCCCCTGCCCCAAGAGAGTCTGCAGGAAATAGAGAACCAAATATGTAGATAGTTCACAGGAGGTGTGCAAGAGTAATAATTGGGGAATTATATTAGGGGATTTCAACTTCCCCAACGTAAATTGAATAGTTGTAATGTTAAGGACTTAGATGAGGTGGATTTCGTGAAATGTATCTAGGGGAGTTTTTTTCACATCAATATCTACAAGGCCCAACAAGGAGCAGCGTAGTGTTGGACCTGGGTCTGATGAAAGAAGCAAGACAAGTGTGGTCACCCTCATTAAAATGTTCCCCCAACACAGTACAGGCAAAGGTAGATTTTATTAAAATAATAGAGGATCTGGCCACAATAGACTGTAAACAGCATCTTGCAACTATGTCTACAGGGGAGCAATGAGGGTATTCAGAAAGGAGCTGGGGAGGGTACAGGTCCAACATTTAGCCTTGAGAGAGAAATGTGGGAGCAATAAGTTCAAAGAGACCTAGATGTCTACACAGTTCAGGACTCAAAAAAGAAGAGGAGTAGGGTTTTCAGCAAGTCCACACGGAGCAATTCAGCTGCAGCCCTAGATGAACACAGGAAGTACGAGAGGGAACTTAAGAAATCAATTCAAAGAGCAAAACAAAAGGGGCATGAAAAAGGACTTGTAAACAGGGTTAAGGGAAATCCCAAGATATATGAATATATTAAAGGGAAAGAGCAGGGCCCATTAGGGACCAAGGTGGCAACATGTGTGAGAAGCTGCAGGATATTGAAAGGGTTTTAAATGAATACTTCTCTTCAGTCTTGACTCTCAAAAAGTTTAATACATGTACAGAATTCAGGAAAACAGACGCCGAGGAACTTGCACAATTTGACATAGGAAATAGTGAGTTATCGGAAGCTCCGTCGGGCTTAAAAACAGGCAAGTACCCTGCCTGGATGAATTGCATCCCAGGCTGCTGTGGGAAGCAAGGCAGGAAACTGCAGAATCTTTGACATTTTTTAAATTCCTCTCTGGCCACAGGGGAAGTGCCAGTGGATGTGAGAACATCAAATGCCATTCCACTTTTTAAGAAAAGTAGTAGAGATGAACCAGAAAATTACAGACTGGTCAGTCCCACTTCAGTGGTAGGGAAACTACTGGAGAAAATTCTGACAGCAAATTAATACCCACTTGGAAAGGCACAGGTTAATTAGGGATGTCAGCGTGGCTTTATCAGAGGGAGGTCAAGCCTAACAAATTTGTTTCAAAAATGTGATCAAGTGTGTGCATAAGGGAAGTTCAGTTGATCTATATATGGATTTTAGCAAAGCTTTTGACAAGGTCCCACATGGAAGACTGATTGAGAAGATTAAGGCACATGGAATTTAGGGAAACAAAGGGAGATGGATCAGAAACTGTCTTAGTAACAGGACACAAAGGGTAGTGATAGAAGGCTGTTCGAGTGACTGGAGACTGATGTCCAGCGGTGTACCACAAGGATCAGTACCGGAACCCTTATTGTTTGTTGTATACATAAATGATACGGATGAAAATGTGGGGCGGAATCTTATGCAAATTTACAAAAGACACCAAGATTGGTAGATTGGTTAATAGCGAACATGGTTGTAGGTTACTAGAAGATATAGAAGAGAAGATAAGGGTTGGTCAGATGGGCAGACCAGTTGCAGATGGTATTAAATCCTGGTAAGTGTCAGGTAATGCACTTTGGAAGAAGAAACAAGATGAGGAGTATTTAATGAATGGCAGCACACTGGGTAGCTTATAGGGACAAAGGGATATTGGAGTAATTATTCTCAGATCCCTGAAGTCAGCACAGCATGTGAATAGGATAGTTAAGGCAGCATATGGGACACTCGCTTTCATCAGTCATGGCATACAATATAAGAGCAAAGAGCCAATGCTGGAGTCGTACAGAGTATTGATCAGGCCACAGCTAGAGTACTGAGTGCAGAGCTGGTCATCTCACTACAGGAAGGATGTGATAGCACTAGAGGGGTACAGAGGAAGTTAACTAGGATGTTGCCTGGGATGGAGAAACTGAGCGGCAAAGCAGACTAGATGGGTTTGGATTGTCTACTTTAGAGCAGAGAAGACTGAAGGGGCATATGATTAAGGGGTATGGAGAAGGTAAATGGAGAGCAGCTGTTCCAATTGGTTGATGGGCCAATTCACAAGGGGGCATAGTTTTAGTGTAAGGAGGAGATTAAGAAAGGATCTGAAGAAATAAAAACTTTTCACTCAGGTGCTGGGAATCTAGAATGAATGCCTAGAAAGGTAGTGGAGGCCAGAAACCTTACAAACTCTAAAAATATTTGGATGAGCACTTCGAACATTATATTCAAGTTTACGGGACAAGTGCAAGAAATTGGGATTAGTGTACTTTTAGTGGTAGTTGTCTGTGCAGACTTAATGGGCTGAACAGCTTTTTTTGGCACTACATGCATCTATGACTCTGTAACAGTCTTTCAGAAAAGTTAAGCCAGACAGAGAGGTTTCATTTAGTGTGTCATGATGATCACCCCTCATCCAGGTTTCCAGCAAGGATGAGACATTGATGCGATCATACAAGCTAAGTTCATAGAGGGCACGCTTTGTCCACAAATGAATAGGCATTTCAGAGGGAGCTGTGGAGAGGGCAGCAGGGAGGGAAAATCCTCAGGAGTGATCAATAGGTTTTACAATGAAAGGAATGAGTTTAACGGGAAGGAGGAGATTGGCAAATGCCTTAATGATCCTTTTGAATGATAGCAAGACAGGTACAGCAGAAAGCTGTAAGTTTATCAATTTGAAAAGAAGTTTTAAATGGCAGCAAGAAAATGGAAAAGTACTGGAAAGACTCAGAAGCACAAAATAATGGAGGGGTGAAATAAGCAGAGTGTTACAGAGGTGTTGAGAAAGCTAGGTTTAATAAACCAAGCACAAAATATAACGAAAGTGATGAATTCTGACCTGGAGCAGGAGCCAAAATAAGCACACAAATAGCCATAAGAAAAGCCTATGTGTCAAGTAGGTAATACACAGAAGACATCAGGAAGACATTGAGCGTTAAAGCCAGCAGTTCTCTACGAAGAGGATACTGACATGGATAAGGTACACTCAGCATGGAGCATCAATGGGCTGTTATCAGATTTCAAACAACTGCAGCAAGCAAAGTTCAGAAGCTATTTCAGGATGGAGCACTGTTACAAGTATTTCCATGGTAATGAAGTCGAAGAGGAGCACAAAATTATTTACAAGGCAGAAAAATTATAACAGAGTTGGAAGTCATCATAAAACCCAGAAGCAGCAACAATTCGAAAGCAGCCTATATTATGGGATCAAGGCAAAAAAAAAGTTAGATCCTAGACTTGGAGCTTGGCCTAACGGCATGGGGAGGTACCTCCATTACACGGGCTACAGCAGCTCAAGATGATTTAGCAGAGGATAGGCAAAGGCAATAAATATTTGCTTTACCAGCAACAAGTATGCCCCTTAAATCAAAAGAAAATGCAGCTCATGTAACATCTTTCAGCAACTTGCAACTGTCAGGGATACAGCAATGGTAATGCCTTTGGAGGTCAGAGGGCATCAAAGCTATGCTTGGAGATGACCATTTGCTGGCACGTGTGGCTCAAACTTACTTGCTATTTATCAGCCCAAACTGGATGTTATCAAGGTCTTGCTGTATATGATAATGGACTACTTCAATATGTGAAGAGTTGTGAATGGTACTGAATACTGACCAATAAACAAACATCCCCATTTCTGATCTTAGTTGGAGAAAAGGTCACTGATGTGGCAGCTGAAGTTGACTGGGCCTAGGACATAGTGCTAAGGATCTCCTGCAGCACTGTCCTGGGACGGAGATGATTTTCCTCCAAAGCTTTTACTACCTTTCTCTGTGCTAGCTATTACTTCAATAATTGGAAGATTTTCTACCAAATTTCCATTGCTTTTAAATTTTACTACAGGCTCCTTGATACGTCAAATCTATACTCAGTCAAATGCTGCTTTAATGTCAATAGCAGTAAACTCTGGAGCCAAGTGATTCTGGAAATGATAAAAATAAAACCTTTATACTAAAGTAACCCTTTTCTGCTTCACAGGACTACATATGCTGCAGAAAGAGTACTTAGATATATGTACCATTACCAGATTCTCCACAAAATTAATTTCAGGTGTGTTGTGCTGATCATGTATTGGATCTTTCAGATGTCTTTGGCTGTGCATGAATTCCTCTTGTAACTTTTGTGTTTCAACAAGGTTTTCCCTCTGTCTACACAGCTTCTGATATTCTTTTAAATGTTCCTTTTGAACCCGAATACCAACTGATATAGCACACAATCTCTCTTGATCCCTCAAATTTTCAACTGGCTTTGTCAAGGTTGTGGAAAGAATTAAGTGTTTCCATGTTCTCACTGAAAATTCTGATGTTCCCCGTTGTCCTTCTAAGGGCTTTAACTGATTCTGCAACATCTGCATTAATCTTACCTGTTGTGGCTCAACTGTGCCTGAAGTTGTAGCACAAGGTTCTGATACCTCCACACCATTCACTTCAAGTACACTGTCAGGCACGTTATATTTTTTAGATTTTGGCAAATCAGATTCACTATTGCTAACATTATACGCAGACTGACAATTAACATTGTCAGGACCTCCACAACGATTTGATCCAGCATCCACTTCGTCTCTTTGTTGTTGTGTAACTGTGGACTCAGGATTTGCAGTATCTTGCTGGGTAGTTTTGAGCAATGCTGAATTGAATAAAGTAGAATTTTTTAAAAGTTGGTGCCTCAGTGAAAATACAGAAACATTTTCTGAACTCTCGGGTAAGCAAATAGTGCCAACTGGCACTTGTGTCCCTTGACTAACTTGTGGTGATTGACAAGTGATCTTGTATGGTAATTCGGTCTGTTGCAAGTGAACAAATGGTACAATTGTAGGTTGGGTCTGACACAGAGCTCTAGATTGATTCTCAAAGCTAGGATATTGAGCAGAAAGGACACAAGTCTCTCCAGGCTTAAACCTGGTCACATCAACCCGGAGTTCAGATCCAGTAGATTTGTTGTAATGCTTCATCTGAGATGGCAACTGCTGTTCGGCCAAGTGTCTTGCTGTAGTAGAAACAAAAGACCATCCTTGTTTCAACTGATACTCATCCAGTTGCTTCCTGATTTCTTCCAGTGAGGTTTTATGCAACCTTAAAAAGAGTTAAAAAAGACTTACGACTTTTGCTATCAAAGAAAATATACTAAGTACTCAGTAAATATGCAAACTTACTAATCTCAAAAAAGAAATAGCCTCAATAAAAAATATTTAAAGCTAAATGTAAAAATGATCTATATGAATTTACCACAAGATCTCACATAGCAAATCTTAATGAACAATAGTTTAAAATTTTCTCAAGCAAACCAATCAATTTGAGCTCTTGACCACCCATTTGTCTCTAATTGAGGGCACTGGGTTAAATTCCACATTATAAAATGGGGGATTCTGTTTTTCCGTTGTTCTATCCCTACATTGTTGCTCTTCCTTTTTTGTCCATCATTCAATATGAACATGGCTGATCCTCTATCTGAAGAGCATATTCCAACGTTCTCTCCAAATACTTAATGTCTTTAATATCTAAAAATATCTACTTTTTTCTCCAATATACTCTGACCCAGCCTCCACAGCCTTCTGCAGTAGAGACTTCAATAGGCTGACCACCCTAGGTGAAGAATTGTTTCTTTATCTCAGTCCTAAATGGAGTGTAATCCCTGGCCCTTGACTTGCCAATCAGGGGAAACATCCTCCTTGCATTTAATCTGAAAAGCCCTGTTAGAATTTTATACATTTCAATCAGATCCTTTCTCATTCTTGTAAATGGTAGTAAATACAGGCCTAGTTGAAATAATCTCTCCTCACATGACAGTCCTGCCATACCTGATATCAGCCAAGTGAATCTTCACAGAATCTCCTCTATGGCAAGTACATCCTCTCTTCAATAGGGCAACACTCCAGCTGCAGTCTTAGCAACGGTCTGTATAATTGTTTTCTATTCCAAAGCCCTTGCAATGAAGGCCAATATATATCATTTGCTTTGCTAACTGCTTGCAGCACCTGCAAGCATTGGTCGCTTCAGGAACCTCAGCTCATAGAAGCATGGTAGCATAGAAATTAGGTGCAGGAGTAGGCCATTCAACCCTTCGAGCCTGTACCACCATTCAATATCATCATGGCTGATCATACAATCTCAGTGTCCCAGTCCTGCCCTCTCCACATACTCCTTGATCTCTTTAGCCGCAAGGGCCATGTCCAGCTCCTTCTTGAATGTATCTAATGAACTCGCCTCAACTGCTTCCTGTGGGAGAGAATTCCACAGGTTCGCAACTCTAACTGAAGAAATTCTTCTTAATTCTTCCTCATCTAAGTCTTGAATGGCTTACCCCTCATTCTTAGGCTGTGGACTTCAACATTAGGAACGTTCTTCCCACATCCAGCCTGTTCAGTCCCATCAGGATTTTATGTTTTTATGAGATCCTTCCTCATTCTTCTAAATTCCAGCAAATACAAGCTCAGTAAATCCAGTCTTTTGTCCTTTGTCAGTCCTCCCATCCCAGGAATCAGACTGATGAACCTTTGCTGGACTCCCCGAACAGCAAGAATGTCCTTCCTCAGACTAGGAGACCAAAACTGCACACAGTACTCGAGGTGTAGCCTCACCAAGGCCATGTATAACTACAGCAAGACATCCTTACTCCAATACGCAAATCCTCTCGCTATGCAGGAGAGCATGCCAGTAGCTTTCCACATTGCCTGCTGCATCTGCATGCCAACCTTCAGCGACTGTTCCACCATGACACCCAGGTCTTGTTACATCTCACCTTTTCCTAAACTGCCACCATTCAGATAATAATCTGCCTTCCTGTTTTTATCAACAAAGTGGATAACCTCACATTTATCCACATTATATTGCATTTGCCCAATCAGGCAAGTCACCCTGCAGCATCTTAGCATCCTCCTCACAGCACAGACTGCCACCCAGCTTAGATGTCATCTGCAAATTTGGAGATATGGCATTCAATTCCTTCACCCAATGCATATTGTAAACAGCTGAGGTCTCAACACCAAACACTGCGGCACCCCACTCGTCACTGCCTGCCACTCTGAAAAAGACCAGTTTATTCCAACTCTCTGCTTCCTGTCCTCCAACCAGCTCTCATTCATGTCAATACATTACCTGATACCATGAGGTTCAGAGTTGATGTGAAGCCCGAGGAGGGAGGATGAGCAAATTCACCACAGCACCATGGTATAGGGAGCTATTCCAGAGCATGGAGAAGGAAGAAATGTGGCCATAAACAGACACAGTATAGTTAGGGGAATAGGCACTGTTCACTGTAGCCAGGACCGAGAGTCTCAAAGCCTACATTGCCTACCCTTTGCCCAGGTTATGGATATTTCATCTAAGCTACAGAGGAACTTGGATTCGGAAGGAGAAGATCGAGTTGTCATGGCCCACGTGGTTACCAACAACAATACAGGCAGAATGAGGAAATCGTTTCCAAGGGAATATGAACAGCTAGGTGGTAAATTACAAAGCAGAACCACAAAAAGTAAACATGTCTGGATGACTACCATGAGCTAATTGGCACAGGGTCAAAAAGATTAAAGAGATAAATGAGTGAAGATTGCTGTTGTAGAAATGGGTTTGAATCCATGGAACATTGGCACCAGTGCTGGGCAAAGAGGGAGCTGTTTTGTTGGGATGGGTTCCACTTAACTCACACTGGGATCAGAGTCATCGTGAATTATATAACTAGACATGTAGCTAGGGCTTTAAACTAAATAGCTGGTGGGGGTGGAGGTGAGAGAAGAGAAGGTCAGTTGCATGGAAAATTAGAAACCAAACTCACGAGAAAGGAGGAGTGCAGGTAAGAGATGAGGCTATTTGTTATCACAAAGTGAAAGGAAGGGACAGAGTGCATAAACATCATATTGAACCAAGGAATTGTACAAAGGGAGGGAAAATTGATAATAAGTCAAAGTTAAAGGCTTTGTATCTAAATGTGCTTAGCATTTGGCATAAAATTCATGAGTTCACAGTTTAAATGGAGAAAAACTGGTATAATTGGCACCAATTACTGAGATGTGGTTACAGCAAGACTAGTACTGTGTTGAATATCCAAGGGTACTCTGTTCCAAATAGATAGATGGGCAGGAAAAGGAGTTGGTGCAGCTTTGTTAGCAAAGGATAAAACCAGAGATCGCAATGAGAAATGATTTTGGCATTAGAGACCAAGACATAGAAACAGTCTAGGTAGAAATAAGAAACAGTAAGAGAAAGAAGTCCTTGGTGGGAGTAATCTATAGGTCCCCTAACAATATAGGATACAGTATAAAGCAGGGAAATACTGAGGACTTGTAAGAAAGATGGGGGAATAATCATTGGTGATTTTAATATGTACATAGACCAGATTAACCAAATTGGCAAGAGTAGCCACAACGAAGTTCATGAGTGAATAAGAGATTATTTCTTGGAGCAAAATGTTGAGGAACCAACTGGGGAACAGGCTACTTTGAATTTAGTATTCAATGAGATGAGATTATTCATTAATCCTATTGTAAAAAGGATCCTCAAGGGAAGAGTAATCATAGCATGTTGAAATTTCAAATTCAGTTTGATTCTAAGAAATTCAACTCCCACACAAGTGTTCTGGTGTTAAACAGAAGGTAACCTCATTGGCACAAGGACAGATTTGGCCCAGATGGACTGAGCAGAAAGGCGATAAGGCTAGACAGTTGTTGAACAGTGGTAGACATTTCCCAACTCCTCAGCTAAAGTACCTTCTAGAGAGGAAGAAAGATTGTAAAAGGGATGGGATTGGGAAGCACCCATGGCTAAGCAAGGAAGTTAAAGATAACTAATGGCAAAAACTAAGGAATACTGTATTGCAAAGGTCGGTGATAACAAGGTGTAGAGCTGGATGAACACAGCAGGCCAAGCAGCATCAGAGGAGCAGGAAAGCTGACGTTTCAGGCCTAGACCCTTCTTCAGAAAAAGGTCTTGCAAAGGTCGGTGCCAGGTTGCAGATTGGGAAACTTTCAAAGACCAAGGGGTTACTACAAAAATAGTTAAAAAATAGCAAAGGTTAATTGTGCAAGTGGTTTATAAGACATTAAAAGGGGATTGACAAAATAGACATAGAAAGGATATTTCCTCATGTGAGGCAATCTAGAACAAGAGGCCAGTGTTTTAGGATAAGGGGTAGCATATTTAAAACAGGTGAGGAGAAATTATTTCTCTCAGAATTGAGAGAATGAGGAATTCCTGACCTGGAATGGATGCTGGGACATTGAAGTAAATTTGAGAAGGAGACAGACTGGTTTTTAAAATTAGTAATAGGATCAAGAGTTAACGAAGAGTGGGCAGAAAAGTTCAGTTTATAGAATCCCTACAGTGTGGAAACAGGCTATTCTACCCAAATAGTCCACACTGACCCTCCGAACAGCATCCCACCCAGAACCATCCACCTACTCTATGCCTGTAACCCTGCATTTCCCATGGCTTATGCACCTAACCTACACACTCCTGGACACTATGGGCAATTTAGCATGGCCAATCCACCTAACCTGCACATCTTTGGACTGTGGGAAGAAAGTGGAGCACTTGGAGGAAACCCATGCAGACACGGGGAGAACGTGCAAACTCCATGTGCAAGAAATTAAAATAAGATGGTACTGCTGACAAACCAAATGACTGGAATAACATCTTGGGTACAAGAGTCGCATGCTGAGGGCCTAACTAAAGTAATAAAGGGGGATGGATCTGGGTGGGATGCTCCAAGTGCCGGTGTGGACTTGTTGGGCCGAAGGGCCTGTTTCCACACTGTAGGGATTCTATGATTCTAAAGTAATATGTAATCCAAAACTGTATAAGTGAATTAAGGTAGAGAGATCATAACTTATTCAAGTGTTGGTGACGAGAAAGGACAGCAAGGAAGATTTTACAGATACTGAAGTGTGGTGGGGTCACATGTGGGGCGACATGAACCCGAGATCACGGTTGAGGCTGTCGTCACAGGTATGGAACTTGGCTATCAGTTTCTGCTCAGCGATTCAGCGTTGTGTATCTCAAAGAACACTTACTGGAAGATCGGAAGCTGAATGCCCTGGACTGCTGAAGCCTCCCATCTAGGAGGGAACATTCCTATCTGG